AAATTTGGTGTCCTCATCTTCCCCCTACTGTCTCAACCCCACCTCACCAAACCCCTCTAGTAGGACTTGCAGGACCACTTGAGCTTTATGCACTATTAATGAACTTGAGAGGAAAAAATGTCCTCGGAGACTTTCAGCAGCTAGGGATAGAGGACTACTGAAAAGCAAGTCTTTTCATGTCTATGCAGCCATAAATAGAAAGTCATTAGGAAAATGGCAGGTGATGGACAGATTACTAAAACTCAGCAGAGGAGATGTCTAATGAAGACAGTTGAACCTTACAGTATTCCTCCCAGTTCCACTCACCCATCTTGGTACCTTTATCTTTTGTTTTTTGTTATCTTGCATGGCTTCCAACCAGCTTTTTAATCCCCTTCAGTCTTTCAAGTATGAAAGCAACTTCGACGCATTGTATTGTGTGAGGTTTGGTTTCAGAGAATACGGACCCTTGAGTGTATTTTGAAAATAAGAAGTGGGAACACACTTCTCGCATGACAAGATCAAGGAAACTTGTCGAAATAATGAGTTCTCCGTGAGCTGGCATAATTAACTTGCTTTCTTTGGTTTGGTGCACACGGAAACACTGAGCACATATTCAACTTTGATATTCAAGGAAATATTAGCATGGAAGGATGAATGGATACATGGTCAAACATGTGGTAAATTGTGAACAAAATGTAATTTTTTTTGTACATTGTTATAAAAGGAATTAGAACTCATACTACCGGTAATTGCACTTTTATTTATTTGTTTGGTTCCTAATAAATCATAGTGTGCCAAAACAATGTTTATTTATTTATTTATTTTGCATTTAAGCTACTCATCAGATTAGTGACTCTTTGTGTTGTTCATGTTTCATGAACTGGACTTTTGGAGCCGTTTTAACTTCTTAGTTTGTCCCTCTTTATTCCATATATTCTAAACACTAAAGAGACTATTAATTGGTGCTTTAATGACTGTGCACACAATGGTGAGGTCTGCTTTGGAAGAGGACTGAAAAGGCATATGTGCTAAAAACAAATACATGACTTGAGTGAATGCAGTGGAAGTAGACCAAATCAACAATGCCGTTTTTTAGTCAAAAAGAAAGAAAGGTGAATTGTATCCAGATTAACTCTTTTTTTTTAAATTCATGCACTGCTTGAGATTAAAACATGCAACCAAATACTGAGCTTGAGATCCAAATATTTGGCCATCATACATAGACATGGATATAATAATAACATATATATTATTATATTCCATTAACTTGAAGAGACAAGCTCAAAGAGGTTTTGTCTTTATAGACATAACTAATATAATTGAGTTTATATTTCTCAAACACTAAAACATCCAGAGCTCACACATACTCCCACGCCATTGTACCTGTGTTTCCACAATGAAAACTGTGTTTTTTTTTTTTTTATCAAATAGTTTGTATAAATAGGGGAAGTTAGTTTTTCATCTTTTAGGCTAAGGGAATAAAGTGTGTAAAACAGAAGCAGAGGAAACTTGGGTTCCTGTGTGCATCATCTCTTGTTTACTTGAGTAGATGATTCTCTTGATGACAGATGACAATAAGAGAAAGTGTTCCAGAACGTTGACTTTTATTTATTTATTTATTTATTTTTCACTGTGGGCTGTGATACATTTCGGGGCCCTGGTGGGATTCTACTGTTGTGTTCTGCTTAATAATCCAAATCCTTTAAGTCCCCCTTGGCCCACTTCAGTCCTTTGATTGTTCCTTTTTCTTTTTATTACGTTAAACTCTATTTTCATAATCTCATGTATGCACTCTTATGGAGTGTGTTAGCGAAGGAGAAGACAAGTACTCCACGCTGCTCTTCTGAGGTCATTCAGATTACAATGGTCAGTCTTTAATCCCTAAAGCTGGCTATGTTTGCTTTTAATTTGGAATAGCAATTTTTGAAGTGAAATGTTTTTGTGGTTCATGTGTATGCACATTTTTTTAATATATGTATATATATATATATCGGAAATATGAAAGTATATTTGTTTTGTTCTTCCATTTACCTCTTTTGACAACAAACAAACAACCAAAATGTTGGATGCTCCTAACTTTTTCAAATACATACATGCATTTGCTGTTATTTGTTTAAAAAAATGGCTAAAAAGAGCACCATTCATTTTTCAACATCAACATAGTGGATTTTTGTGATTTGCAAGTGTTGCACTGAAATCAACCTGCTTGTAAATTGTCTACAAGTCCATGGAGTGCATTTCAAAATCAGGTGGTTGCCTGATCCTTCAAATATTATTGACCAGTTTGATGAAACATGCATTGATGGATTCATTACTGACTAAAGTTTTGCATGGGGAAATATTGCACTAAAGAGTTGGATCAAACTTTGCCAACATTGAACACATAAAGTATAGTCATAGTTTGTGTATTTTAGGATATCTACAATTTTGTTCTATATGTTCAATGTATCCAAAGACAAAAATAAGTCACGAGGAAGGATACAATCTTTCAACATTTTTCTTTTCTGCTGTTGTTTATCAGCTATATTTATTACAGTAAAAACAAAACTCATTGTTACAAAGATTTTATAGGAACCCCCCCCCCCCCCCCCACACACACACACACACACACATTTTTTTTGTGGTCAGCACAAAAAAGACAACATTTTCATCTCAGCTTTGTTGTGAAGCAGCCAACTCATCAGTCTTAGACTAGAAAAACGTAAATCCATTACACCATACAGAAAATCCCAAACAGAAATATGTTGGGAAATAGATGCAACCACTTTATTCCACCTTTATTATTACACTTATAAATTAATACCGAGAGGTTTATTCAAGAATTAAATGATTGACTGCTATGATTACAAAGTTCTGCTGCACCCCTCCCCCAGTAGCCTTCCGCCAAGGGTAAAATATACATCTGTCTAATTTCTTGCTTGTCAGACTACCATCTGGTACAGTATCAGCAATAATGTCAGGAGAAATGGCAGCTCAGTCTCTCTATTACAAAGGATATGATAATGATGCTTACTAAAGTTACTGAGGTCATATGTAGCAAATATCATTGAGATGTGTTTATTATTATTTAGATATTTTGAATTTTCAGCTTCACCTTCAAAGCATTTTATGTTTAAAATGAAAGTAATAGGATGATTTGTCACGTTTTGATTAATTTCAGTGAGTTGACTTTAGGGACACATTTGATGCTAACATATGATGTGATTTAAACACAATCTGAATAAAACATTATGATACTTAGTGGCATGGTTGTGCAGTGGTTAGAGCTGCCGCCTCACAGCAAGAAGGTCACATAATTTCCTCCTGCATGGGCTCTTTCCATGTCGAGTTTGCATGTTTTCCGTGTGCATGATTTAAAAAAAAAAAAATTTTCAGGGCATTCTGATTACCTTACACAGACCAATATGCATGTTAAAATATATATATATATATATATATATATATTTTTTTTTTTATATATATATATAAATTGTCAATAGGTTTGAGTGTTTGCATGAATGGTTGTATCTTTCACTGTGGCACTAAGATAGATCTTCATCCTGTCCAGCATGTACCTCACCTTTCACCCAATGACCGCTGGATATTGACACCAGGTCCTCTAAAACCTTGCACAAAAGAGCAGTCAAAGAGAACAGATGGATGGATTTCTGTTAAACAGAATGACTTATTATTTCTCCGGTACATACACAGTCTCCATGGGAAAGGGGTCATAGTTCCAAAGCCATGTAGGCTAATAAATCTTCCCAGCTGAGGAGGTTTACTCCAGTTTATCCTTTCACGTTCTGTCACACAGATTTAATGTTTATTTCATTGTGCATGGTGTCATCAGTGTCTTTTTCAGTCCCAGCATGCAGCCAGTATACTTGAATAAACTAACAAAATCATTACTTTCTACTTGTTTAGCATCACATGACATTTGTATTGTCAAATTACGTTTATTGAAAGCTGTTAGCTTCTGTGCACCAACATTTATTTATTTAATATATTTTATTGTGATTGTGGTTGTTTTAAAGCTTTTCTCTCCCTTTAGTTTAGTCATTCAATATGTTGCATTTTTGACACTAATGAGCCTATTTAATGTCAAACACTTACTTTTCATGAAACACGTGTTTCTTTTATCCAGCAATATGTTGTGTTGCTATAAACATCACTCTACTTTATTTAATTTGCTTAATATTATCTTAAGTTAGGTTATGTCACTGAAGTAAGACACCATATTGTGCAAATGTTTATATTTTTATTATGTGCAACCTCTTCAAGTTTTCAAATACGGATGGAATATATTTTAGACCAGCATCCTCACATGTGAGTGGCACATAGACATGAGCAAGTAGAATCAGACCCATTGTCTCAGTGCTAGTGTTGGAAGAAAGAACATGCAGAATGTTAAAACAAAGGTCACTATCCATTCAAAAAGCTTTTTTTTCAGAGGGACTAAAAGGAAATTACATTTTTCAAACAACTTGAACCTGCCACCAGCTGCTCCAATAAAACATCTTGAGAGGAGGTGTTATTTAAAAATGCAATCATGACTCTTTTAGGCCTGAGTCAGTGCAGTCCTCACATTAGGAGTGGAGAAAAAAAAATTGCCAAGATTATAAAATCTTTCACATTGTAAGGTAAAACGGAACAATCAAGCACTCTTTTGTCTGCTGGCCACAGGGTGTAAATTTACTAGTGTTAATGCATTGCAATTAGCATACATGAAGGTCTAAGTCACTCAAAAGAAAAAAAGCAGCTAATACGTGTTAATATTATGTGCTGACAGCGGTAATAAAGAGCTGACACGGTTAATGGCTGGGTAGTTTTGTGAGCCGTCCTTTCCATGTGTAGAAAAGGATTGTGGCAACAGAAAAGTACCCAAAAAAAACCCCACTATATACCTTAATGAATGAGCACATGGACATGCTTTCTCCTCAATGCACACACTAAACAAGCAGATACTTGCACCCACACACACAAAATGACCTCTTTCTTTCTGTAATGTGGCTTTCATTTGAGTCCTAATTCTCTTGCAGGTGACAGAGACACGAACAGGGCCTCTGGGATGTAGTAGCTATGACAATCTGGACTCAGTCAGCTCGATCCTCCTGCAGAGCCCCGAGAGCAAGCTTCATCTGCAAGGTAAACAAATCAAGTACACCCACATAATTCTTCAGGGTGTCAGATGTCACGAGGCAGCAGCATGTTCAAACTAAAGGAGATCTATAGTCACACATGAATTGGGAGGGGGAAAATGGTTTGTGGCTTCTGAGGAATTGAATGTCAATGCACTTTTTAATTGGTGCCGGGTTTGGGATAGATTTGCTCCTCCATCCCCTCTGGGGGATTGCAGCACAATTTTCTGGTTATAGATGTCTGCTCGTGTTCTAATGTGATTGTGTTCTTAAGTCTTCCTTAAAGCTTTGATCAAAGACGGGCCTAAATGCAAAATAGTCCCTTCAGCTGTGCAAGCTAATCAAAGCAAAAAGTAGTAGTCTCTCTGCAGGTGTGGCACATGTAATGAGTGTAAAAATTAATGCTTGTCATAAATTTCAGAGCCAGATTTAGATTTATAGAAATGTATCCAATATGCACATGTGACTTCATCATGCATCAGTGGATTCAAGTAGAAACCTTTAATCATTAGAGCCTTTTTTTTTTTCCCATACAAAAAATAGATCTGTCTTAAACATTGACACAAGCAGCCTAATAATTAAACTGATGAAAAGAATTACATCCTATGATAGACACCCCGGGGTATAAATGATAAAACACATTGTAACTGTGGTCAAACGTTTATGAGCAGCAATTCATTCTTTGATTCATTTGCTGTACAGAAGTTATTAAAACCGCTCCGAGAATCACAGTCTTATTTTTAATCTGTACACCTTCTGCTTCTTCCCTGAAGGCATCATTACATGTCCTCTAAAATCAGAGACCTAAGTGGTTTGTCAAAAAAGACGCCCGGGTCCTGCACTGCCATCGCCACTCAAAGCACTCAGTGGGCTTTGGGAAAATAAGCTTTATTGTCATGCATAAAATGTATTAGCCTTGCGCTTTGAAGAATGTTTGTCACCCAACTCATAGATGACAGGAAGGAGAAAGGTTCTTTCTTTCGTTTTGATAATAAACCAAAAAGAAAAGAAAAGCTGCTCAGGTCCCTTCTTGCTTGAGGCTTTTGCATTTAGGCCAAACTGTATTGACGTGCGAGGTGCATTGATGAATGGCGAGTTAGACTAAAAAAGTGTCCTTTTGAGAGCAATTATCATCCCTGTCATCAATTAGAAAGAGAGCTGATGGTGGAACCTGCTCAACAATCGTAGTGCTCTTCAAATTAATGGCACTTCACATGGCGGTGGAGAGCTTTTAAGGTTTACGCTGCTTAAATATATTTATAATGACTTCAATTCATTTAATTCACCCTAAAGTTCTGATCCTGTCATTAACATGGGTATAAGTGTTGCCGTTAGACTTCCTGTTCTTTCTCTGCAAATCTTTTTTTTTCTCTTGGATCACACTAAATATGTTTGTAAAGTAATTGTCAAATTGCTTTTTTCTTACATAGATCTGTTTATGGTTTCAATTCTATTACTTAGACTTTCTGTGTTGCACTTGGGTTTTATTTGCATTAATGTGCCTGAAGTTTCCTTTTGTTTCTATAAAATTTTATGTATTAGATATAACTTCTACCAGTAGATATTTTCCTTCCCTATGTGCCAGCAAATTAAAACAGATTACAGAAAAAATGCAGAAAAAATATTGAAGCCTATAAGTTATTCCTTTAGATAACAATATTTTAGATTTTATAAGGACATTCTATAATAACCCAGTAAGGTTTTAGTGTTAGAAATTATGTTTAGAGGAAAACAAGATTGACTGTTAATCACATTGCTTTGAAATTGTTTAACAAAATAAGTACAATTAAGTTTTAAATAGGATTTAAGTTGTGATTTCTGCTATGACAACCTGCACACCACTCCAATAAAAATCATAAATACCTTCAGTGGAAAACAATAATAATTTGCAACAAACTAATTGTTGAGACTGTAAGTTGAGCTAAAATGTGATTATTATAACTGTATTATGATAATGTTTAGCTCCTCAAATCATTACGTTTTACTGAATTAATTTACATGAGTAGCTCCATAAATTCCAATTCTAGGATTAAAGATCTGCCTTTGTAATTTGCACAGACCAAGTTCCTTGGTTCTTCATTTATATATATATATATATATATTTAAGTTATTCCCATTTATTTTTCTGAGTATTATTATTTATTCACTGCAATATACTATTAGAAATTGTCCAAATGGTATAATGAGTAAAAGTGTTAGAAGACAAATCCAGAGGTGCATAACTTTAATAAATTACTGATTATAGCTTAATTAATCCCACTGTGGTTCTCAATATTTAAATCCCTCAAAAATGTCTGAACACAAAACATACTTTTCATATGTTTAAGAATGCTGGCAAGCATTATTATCTTAAATGCCTGATGTGACTTTAGTCAGAATACCCAACAATTAGTCTTTGAATGACATTGATTGATTTTAGTTTTCCTCATTTGCTGTAGAATCTAGCTGTTTTTTGTTACAAAGTACTTTTCTTTATTTTTGCCATCCTATTTGTAAAAAAATAATAATAATAATAATAATTGTATGACTTTTTATAACTGTCTATTGCTGTCGCTGTTGTCCATTGTTGTCATCATTCTTTGTTGAAATCAGGTCTCTCTTGTAAATGAGTCCTCGAGGCTCAATGGGATTTACCTGTATAAATAAAGATTGAATGAAAAATAAAAATATGGCAGATACCCCCATCGTGAAACATTTAAATAAGTCCTACCATCTTTTTTTGCACATTTTCTATTGTCTGTATTGTTTAACGTTACTTCCTGTTTTAATTCCAGTGTCTGTTCCTCCTTTCACATCTATCTTTGTCATATATATGGTACTGTTTCCAAAATGCTGCTAAACTGTTTTTCCATTTGTCTTTAATTTTGTCAGAATACATTTTAACAAAACTTAGTATTCTTTTTGCCATTGATTTGTAATAGTCCTGTTTTAGTTAATGCTCAGGTTTTCTGTTAATTTTGTTGTATTTAAATCCTCTGCCTTTCAGAACAGTCCAGTGTTGTCTCATGTGAGTCCTGCACTGCATCTTCTTGGGACACTTTTATGTGATGTTTCTACACTGCATAACTTTATTTTATTTATTTATTTATTTTTTAACGAAAGCAACAATAACTAATCAGTAGTAGGGTGCTTCACTGTTCTTTGCAGGCTGTTTAGAAAAAAACAAAAAAATAATTAAAAAAAAGTAAAGAAAAAGAAAACCACCATCCCCATCAATTAAGTTAAATGTACCCTTATGCATGAATTACAATTTAAGTTTATGAAGATTACTGACCAGATGGATACATGTTTATATCAAGGTTGTAGCCAAATGGTGTCTTCTTGTTTAGACAGATAATGAAATATGTGTTGTTCTAGGACAAATGGCGCATTTAGTTGCTTAATTTGGAATACTCCATGGACAGTCCTTGTGGATATCTTTCTGTTGTGGAGGGCACATTAAAAATAAACAGATGGAACCCACTCAGCAGCAGCAGTACACAGCATTCATCATCAATACTGGGGAGAGTGGATATTTGGCCAAGATATACACGGGAGTAAAATTATGAGCATTTACTAATAAATGTGGGGTTATTTTTAATTTGGGTGTATTTAGTGTATGTGTAGCATTCTAGAATATATAAAATATATCATGTTACAATAGCTTCTAATGTCACAAGCAAGCTAATGCTATTTAGCAGAGCCTCCATAAGTGCATTGTTGTCCATTACAAAAGCAATGGGTCCCCTGCTACAAAGACTCATCTGCTATGCCTTTACTTACACTAATGAAGTGTTTTAAAATTGGCTCACGATAAATGAAAGGCAATTGCTCAGCTAAAAAGAGACATACATGGGCCAATGTAAAGCACCATCTGAGCAATGTTTGTTTTTAAATGCTTTACCTTGATCACAGTGTACTTTAAAAAATTGGATGTGTCGAAATGTGGACCAACATGGAGGACTCATTGTGGTCATCTGCTTGACTGCATTGTATTCAAACAAAATGCAGTAGCAAAATAATTGCACCCTCCAACTGGTCTTTACAGCCGTTGCCCAAAAACATAACAGCTTTGACAGCATTGTCCTCGTTGACTATACTGCATAAATGGTCTTTATAGACTGTCCCCTGAGAGAGATGGCACTGGCTGAGCCATGTGCTTCTCTAATAAGCCCTAGCAGCTCTCAGCACTTCTAATGAACACCCACCGTGTGTCTCATTTACAAATGCCTATTGACCTTTTACCAGACAATTAGCTAAAATGCTAACTTTTGGCATTTAAACTGTGGGGAGGAGCCATATCTGCCTGGTGTGGAAGATCACAGATAATCACCAGTGCTACCTAACAGCAAAATATACTTTATTTCAGTAAGAACATGCCAACTTTGTGTTTCTAAATGTTCAAATATGTATTCAAAACACACTTTTTAACACCAGTTTTGTTTCAAGTAGAACCGAGTGACAGACAGTGAGCCAGTTTCCTGTTTTACTTAAAACATTTATCTGGGGTACATTTTCACATTACTTTTGTGGAAGCATAGCAGTGATTTTTCAAGGTGTTTGGAAAATAATTTTATGTTTTTGGGTGGGAACTGTTTATAAACTATCTTCAAGGATATGAAATAAAATGAGAATAAAAGTAAAAATTTATGTCATGAAATTATTATATTTGTCTCAGTCAAGTAAATGACAAAAGTTAGACTTTTTATATGTTGTTGGATTGTCAGTATCAAATGAAAACAGTGTATGGTATAAAATAAATTTAATTTCAAATTGCCATCAAAAATCATTTGTGCTTTAATGTTTAGGATAATAATAATTATGGAAATGCTGCTATGTTTTCTGATAGCCGACATGCTCTGGTCTAACAACATTTTAGATCAGTGATCAGACACATCCATTCTTTTTCAAATGGAAATACAGAAAAACATAAAGCAGCAAGAATGTTTTCATTTTCGTTTTATATTTTTCTTCTTATTTATTTCATTTTGAACAGTTAAAATAAATAAAAAAAACACAAGTAAAAAC